CATACTTGTCATTCTTTTCTTTGTCTTGTTGTGTGCTTGCTGGCTGTGTGCGCACATATATATATTACACTACCATTCAGTCATCCATTATATTTATCAATTCATTTAGAATTTGATGTATTGTTGCAAAAAAACAACAACAACTATTTAAAATAAATGCGGTGCTTTTGAACTTTCTATTCATCAAAGAATCATGGAAAAAAAGATAATGGTTTCCACAAAAATATTAAGCAGCACATTTCAACCTTGGTAATAATTTATTTAAATTATAATAATATTTAACATTATTACTGTTTTTACTGTATTTTGATCAGATAAATGAGTGTTAGAGTTTTTTAGAGACCCTCACATTGTTCCACAATCCACACCTGACTTAATTTCTTCTGTCAAACACACACACACACACACAAACAATTGCAGAACATCCTGGATGCTCTTTTTCATAAAGAGCTTTATAAATGAAAAGCCACCTTAAAAGTGTCCATATGTCTTGAATATTACCAAGTCTTTGAAGCTTTGTTGGAGAAACAGACCAAAATAGACAGAAATAATTCCACATTTAGAATAATGCAACCAAAAATAAAGATTCAAATTGTGCTTTTGTAATGTTTATGGTACAGTATGTTTGTGATACACTCTTAAAAATAAAGGTGCTTCAAAAGGTTCTTCAAGCGATGCCATAGAAGAACCATTTTTGGTTCCACAAAGCACCATTCAGTCAAAGGTTCTTTAAAGAACCATCTCTTTATTGCCTTTTTGTAATCTGAAGAACCTTTTTTCACCACAAAGAACCTTTTGTGAAACAGAAAGGTTCTTCAGACGTTAAATGTTCTTTATGGAACCATTTAGACAAAAAGGTTCTTCTATGGCATCGTGAAGCACCTTTATTTTTAAGAGTGTACTTGCCATATAAATGTGCCTTTTTGACAGCCCCTGCACACTTTCACCGCATGGAAAACAGCAGCAAGAACATTCTGCTTCTGTGTTCAATGTAAGAAAGAAAGTCATATGGGTTTTGAACAATGTGAGGGTGAATAAATCATGACATTAATATTGGATTTTTTTTTGTGTGTGAAATTCATAGAACAGGGTCGTTTGTTTTCCTGTGTTTCTGTGGACCTGAATTTGGCTCTTTTAAGACCACTGAACCAGTGCACCGATACAAACCAGTATATTTACATTAATTGTAAAATGTGTTGTTGTGGTTGTAATATTACAAAAAGCTCACTAATCATCCAGTTATTCTTTAGTGCAATAACACACTAGACTGTTGTATGATTATGGAAGATCGTCCAGAAGCATCTGTGTGAGTCTCACATGGTCCCAGGGATCACATTTTACACAGTGTTTAAATGTAGCAGTAGAGCTGCTTTTCTTTGCATTTCTAAAAGATGGTTTAGGTAATTAAATCAGCAAGTTATCATGAAACACAAGAAGAACAGTTTTGTTGTAATTTAAGATGTGTCTTATGTATTGTATTTTTCATAGAGTTGAGAATTTTGGCCTAGTAAAGGTGTGGACTACAGTAACTTTGCACTGAGGGGAGAAACTTAAGGCCTCTCTGTGACCCTCCAAACTGAGCCTCCTCTCAGCCATGTGACCACACAAACTATTTTGAACAGCCAACCTTAAGATTGTATATTTGCAGTATTTGGTGTTGACAAATGCTAAATGCCTTTCACACATCATGTCAGTAATGTGTTTCACTAAAATATCTTCCATTTTCCCTTTAGTCATGCTTTTGTAAATTCTTATACACAAGTTTCCAGAAACCAAGTTGCATTTTTATATTGTTGGTCGGTAGATAGATCTTCTCCATTTCCTGACCATTATTCCCCAGCGTATATGTCCATCAAGCCCGCTGGAGTCGCACTCCGTCCCATGATTCTCATTTTGTCCCAATCACGGGACGCAATGCGCTTGGAATAACCCAGTAATTCATTAGATGCTGTGGTTTGTTAGGTGCTTCAAATGTCCTCTTTGTTTCTTTACTGGGGTGTTTATGTTCTTGAGCTCTGAGTTAAAATGCAAGTCATACAAGATCAAGTTCACAAGGATTCCTGATGTTGAAGAGACTCAAGGCCATTAAAAGGCTTCTCCAACTCTATAGGAGGTCATGGGATTCCATGTCCATCCTATTATTGGCATTGTGAAGATCACATTGTGAAGGCCCTTGTGGGGCCATGTGAATGTTAGTGGGCCAAAGGCAGAAGTTGGCATGTAACTGGTAAATATGTGTTGTTTAAAAGATTATTTAGTCAAAACAAATGTGTGATTATTGGTTATTTCCTCTTTTAAACAATACTTCCAGTCCATTTGTTAAAATGGGAAGTTGGGCATCTTCCTTCATTGAATCTCTCTGTTCTATTTCTGCAGTTTGCTTTATTTTTCCATAGACAGTGACAGTCCCAGTCCCTCCTAACGTGGAGGTTTACTTTGGGAGCTCATCACATGATGTGAAACTCTCCCCACAATGCAAAGCTCATGAAAAAAGGCTTTGCCTGAACTTGCCTATACAGGTGCTGAAGTGAGATGTTAATACAATTCCATAGTATTAGTTTTGTGTGGGAAAATGATTTGGGATGCAAAGGAACATAAATTAAATTTTGCCGATGGCTGCGCATTGCATTCAAGTCTCTATTTGAACATCTGCATGCTTTTGTTGTGCAATCTAGTCTGGATGGAAGCCAACAAGGACTTTGGTGAAAGACACATATCCGGGTATTATCCTGCACGCAGCAGCATGGAGACGTCAAGGTTCTGCCGTCCTAGACTAGACGTGTGAGATGAATAGTTAGAGTGTTAATTGACGAGCACACACATACACAAGCGCACGTGTGTGTTTGTCACTGCTCGGCTCTTGTACGCCCATGTGAATACAGCTGAATAGAGTCTCTGTGACTCTCATTATAACCTGATTCTTTGTGTCATTGGCTGTTCTCACTGATCTGTACTGGAGACAGCAGACCCGTCCCACATAAGACAGCTACTGTAGTCTGACAGTGATGTGTAATTCCAGCTCCTCTGGGACAAACTCTGTAGAGGGTGTGTCATGCATAGCATGTGTGCATTTTAAAACCTGAGGAAATGAATTGTGAATGTGCAGTGATGTGCTTATGTCTTGTGTTTCTGCAACAAATGGAATTCCAATTGATATTATTGGCAATATCATGAATATTGAGATGATTTTGAGATGGGTTCATTCATTTAATAAACAAGTATCCACAATTAAATATCAAATATAAAACAATTATCAAATTAATAATCGTAATAATAACAATATTGAATATTATTAATAATAACAACAATAAAACATTTTACTATAATAATAATTATTATTATAAAATGTTTTTTATTTGATTTTTAAAGGCTCTTTGAAATAAAAAATGGACGATTCTTATTTTTTGATGGAATTTTGTGGTCTATATTTTAAATGAATTATCCATGCACATAATAAAAAAAAAATGAATGTGCCCTTGTAATCTTTAATAAAAAAATTAATGTCCCCTCCCCCTCACAATGACATCTCTGATGCCGTGTTTACAGGTGCGAGGGGTGGGACAATAATCTCTCTAGTATGTTGCTAACATGAGATCTGTTGCAGCAATTAGAAAATGACGATCCAGCGTTCCAAACATTTCCTGAAGGACAAAACCAAGTCTGTTTTACTTTTTTTCTTGTTCGAGAAGCCATTTCACTTGTATATATGTTATAATAAGAAAAAAGTCAGTTTATGGTTCATGCTGATTTAAAATAAAATGTGTGTGTGTTATTTCATGTGGATGAACTGCGATGCAGATGTTCCATTATGGTTGCATTTAGAGTTCTCTCTGGTGTCTCTGGTGATTCATTTGACCACTATACACATGCAATTGTTTAAAAGAAATGATTTTTGTATTTAAGAAGAATATTTATGCATTAAATCATGATCTTCCACCATTTGACAGGACCTATAATATTTGCAATATAATACAGCAGGGATGTAACATATTACAGTATAATGGTACTGAAGACGCCTGAGTGTATGTATGAATGTGCCCTTGTAATCTTTAATAAAAAAAATTAATGTCCCCTCCCCCTCACAATGACATCTCTGATGCCGTGTTTACAGGTGCGAGGGGTGGGACAATAATCTCTCTAGTATGTTGCTAACATGAGATCTGTTGCAGCAATTAGAATATGACGATCCAGCGTTCCAAACATTTCCTGAAGGACAAAACCAAGTCTGTTTTACTTTTTTTCTTGTTCGAGAAGCCATTTCACTTGTATATATGTTATAATAAGAAAAAAAGTCAGTTTACAGTTACAGTTTATGGTTCATGCTGATTTAAAATAAAATGTGTGTGTGTTATTTCATGTGGATGAACTGCGATGCAGATGTTCCATTATGGTTGCATTTAGAGTTCTCTCTGGTGTCTCTGGTGATTCATTTGACCACTATACACATGCAATTGTTTAAAAGAAATGATTTTTGTATTTAAGAAGAATATTTATGCATTAAATCATGATCTTCCACCATTTGACAGGACCTATAATATTTGCAATATAATACAGCAGGGATGTAACATATTACAGTATAATGGTACTGAAGACGCCTGAGTGTATGTCACCACTTCTGAATGTCTTGCGCTTGGCTGAATCCATTTCAGTGTGTAATGGTTTGTGCAGCCGGTGTGTATCTGAAGCGGTGTGGAGGCCCTTTGTAATGGATTAACGTTGTAATCTAGGCCACCGCAGATTACAGCTTCGTTTCGTGGGCTTGCCCCAGTGTCATGTGACCAGGGGACAAATGGATCTTCATTTCCCATGGATGATAAAATGGACGGAGGGGCTTGAGCATAAGCTAGTCCAGCACAGGAAGCTGAAGACGATTGCTTTTTTCAGTCTTTAAGAACACTTTTACAGGATTGTCAACAATACCTACAAGGACCACTGAGATTACAGCTGGGAGTGTCGGCTCGTGACGGAAATAGAACGCTCTGGAGAGGTAACTTATTAACGTGCTGCTGTCGTTGTCTCAAGCAGGACATAATGTGATCCCTGCTAGCACTGCAGAATCCGCAACACGCTTATACTAGCAACCGTAGCTAGAAGATAGGACAATCGGCACTGTGATATCCTAACAGGCTCGGTCACATGCAGTCATTTAGTGTCCTGAGAGCTTCCTGTTCATGGGCAGCATGGAGGAACCTGTAGAGGAGTACAAGTCTCCGTTCAACTTTGAGCAGGGAGTGAACACCAGCTACCTCTACCTGTCACCTGAAGAGAGTTTCACTCCACCTGGTTCACCGGTACTGCTGCTCAGAGGTAACCATGTTTGTTCAGGTGCTCAGTGGGGGTGTGTGTGTGTGTTTAGGTGTGGACTGGTGTTTGTCACAGTATAACAGCAACAGACAGATAATGTTATTGAAAGAACGGGAGAGCCCTCTTCCTGTCAAGTGCTGATGTTTTGAAGAAGCTCATCCGTCAGGAGCAGATGCTGTTCAGGTGGGCCGTAAGGTTGCAGAATAACTGACAAACACCAGGCTCATGCAGACTCCGTGCCATCTCTGTATTATTATTCATTTGTAATATTTCTTTATTTAATTTTTCCCCTGAGGGCCACTTAGTAGTTAGTAGTTTTTTTTGTCATGTTTTAGTTTTTCATGCCATTGCCTGTTGGAGTTAAAAACATCAAAGTGTTTTGATGTGCCATTCACATCTCTTTCAGATGTGTAGTGATCAACAGTCCTGTCGATATAATACAAATTTTTCCGTTCTAATACTCGGAAAGATCAGACTGAAATAAGCAGGGACCTTGTTAAAAATAATAACATCTAGCTCTTAATTTCTTGCATTGGGATGCTGCAGGAGGACATGCAGAGCTGTAGGTGCTACACCAGTGTAGTAATAGTCAAGACCCGACTCTGACTCAACTCCATCTCAAGTTTGAGTCTAAGACAATGTTTTCAGGAATATCTGGACCCGTCCTGGACTCTAATGAGTTGGTCTCGACTAGCCATAGAAAATCTGATCTTGGACTTGAGACGGACTTTATTTAGTCTGGTCTTGTCCGATCTCAAGCATTATAACACTGCTACACACAGCCAGTTCTTCTGCTGAAGACTAATGGTATCTCTGCTGCTTTCTCCTCATCACCTCACAAAGACTGGACAGGCCAAGTTTCTGATCACCCAATAGGACATTGGACATACTGATGTGTAAATGTTACGTTTGTGTAGGTTAGTTTCAGTAAATGTTCTTTTTGCATCCAGTAGGAAGTTTTGAGTTCTGTAAATACAGTATAGTTTCTTAAACAGGATGCACAGATATTCAAAATCTGGTTTTAAGATTTTGGCAGGTAACAGATAATTGGCCAGTATTAAAATTATATTCTGATTTATCTAAATGAATTGCAACACTAAAAACTAAAATCAGTTGTTTCAAATCCTGCAAGTGAATTAATGCATCACAGCATGATAATGTACAGTATGATTAATTGATATTCATTTTGAGATTTGGTAAAAATTGCCTTTAACAATGTTATTTAATTAAAATGGTTATTACAATAATCATCCCATACAGATAAAAAAAATCTCCAGTACCAACTGATAACTGATGTTGTTGTTGGTTTGTGTTCGTTTTCATATTATATCAAACCCCTTTAACAAACATTGATTGAATTAACAGGGCAACAGGACTTGTCTAAACCGGCAGGTACTGAAACTGTATGGTAAAACTGTATCTATAAATGATTCCATGGCCAACAATGCTACTATAATGCAGTTAAGATGTTAATCACTAAATGGAAGAGCAGTGAGCTTGGTTAACAAATTACAAGTGTGTTTACACAGGGCCCTCAATCTCATTATACAGACACAGTGAGGTCATGATCAAGCCTGTGAACCGTCATGGTACTTCAGGGTTGGAAATATTTATTTTATATGGTAATTCGTGAGATGGCACCTATTCAAAATCTTGTGTGTGTGGAGAAATTGATTTGACTCGAGGACAAATGTGGATGTTGAAACTTATAAATGGGAATTGCTTTATTAAAGCTGGTGGTTTAAATCAGGGATGACTGAACAAATCTTAAGTGCTTTCATCACACCTTAGGTGATGGAAAGAATTGAATAAATATCTTAATGTGCACTAGGGCTGCACGATTATGACAACAATCATAATTGTAGATTATTCCTTTGAAATTGTAATTGCGATTATTAATTTACGATTAAATGAATGATGTTTACACCTTTGTTTGAAGCAACTGCATGCCATATTTTTATATGAAAATAAACAAGCTGAAAACACTAACTGAAAAACGTTTATTGCTTTTCTATAGTATTAAGCCTCAAATGTCAACTATACATCGGATTGGTTTCTCTTTAAATAAAAAGGTATATATATGCATGGTATTATAATGTTATACTAAAATTAAAACAATGGAAAAACCCTTAAGATAACATGTAGAAAGAAAAAAATTAAGCATGCAGAATAACATAAGCAGACTTTGAATGATTAATTGCTGCTTTGTGTAAACGAACAATTATGTAATTGTGGTATCCGTAATTGTAATTGCGATTAGATTGTGCAGCACTAATGTCCACACTCCAATGAGTTTTTTTTCTTTCTTGGTGATCTAGTTTTTCCCACCACTTCAAGTCTTCATACTTGCATTAAAAACAAAAACAAAAAATGTGTTTACGCCAGGTGTCAGATAACTTTACAAAAGTTATTTTTTAACATTGAAAAACCGATTCCAATCTGCATGAAATAGTGTGTGTGTATGATAGGTAGTGCACTGCCTCTAGGTTTTTCAAAGAAATATATATTTCATATTTTTCTAAGCCACAGTGTAAAAAAATGTTGTGCATTGAACCTGTTTGTTTATAATGTTAAATAACTACAGATGAAGCATGCTTTTACAGTAAAATATTTTGTTCCTCACTACTTAAGTTCAGGCATTGGCCATAGTGTAATAATAATTTCCATGCAAGCGATGTTATATGAGTCCTCGTGTAAACCACTCAACTGTTTCAAATCGACCGTTGAACTTGGTTGACACTGTCAATATTAATTTCCCGTGATGAATGAACGTGTACCCTGGCATGTAACCCGTAGTACTGTAACAGTCAGCAGATGTAGTATTAAAGGAAATGTGTTTTGATGGGCAGAAAATGGTGTATTAAATTAGACATTGTAAGAAAGTGAACATGGAAGGTGGGAAAGCACTTTAATTTTATTCAAACTGCATCTAATTTAAGAACATTCACCCTTTTACTGAGCCAGAACTTGTATCATCTGTACTGAATTCATCCTGTTCATATTAGAGATGTGAACTGAAGCCAAAATAACAAAGTAACCAGTTAATGTAATTTATGTTCAGTGCACTTTAATCATTTTTATTTATCATTGATTGTATTAGATGTAGTGTAACAATGTATGGTTAAGTATGCTATCCTACTCATTTTAAGTGACAAAGAGACTTTAAAACATAAACGCACCAAAAATATTTTGTTAGGGATTTGTTGTCAAACAAGCTATAAAAGATCCTCACTTCTGTTCCTAATTATCTTTGTGGTAAGTTAAAGTGGGAGGCAGACCTACCCGTTTTTCCAGAAATACCCAACAAGCAGCTTACAAATTAGTTGCACACCTTCCTCATGTGATGCAACCTTTGTAAGTTTCTTCCTGAAACACGTTTTAAACCTCTGCAAGCTGAGCTGAGACCTGAACCTCATATTTGACCTCTGTTGAATCTGGGTATACAATTAGGTGCATCAAATGGACATTGACATGTTTTTTTATTTATTACTTTTTGCCAACTAGCACAGAAATGCTGATTCTGTCAAAGCTCTGGAATCTGTGTTTAACAAAGTAAATGGTGTTATCAGGTTATTCTTTTAATCCAATAAAAATGGAATGCACAAAAACACTGATTGGACTTAATAAGGAACATCAGCTGATAATATTACAGTATGATATTATATACAGTGCAGTGCAGAGCCATTCATTCAGGGGTGTCATACTCTTATCAGTTTGATTGACAGTGCTGAATTTTTGGCCTTTCCTCCTAGTCATCAGCCCACTTAATGGTGACATCCAGGAGTTTTATTATTTATGTTGTATTTCCATAGTATAGTCTGTCAGTGGAGGCATCAAAGTACATCTTCCAGACTTCATCATGTAACAAGCACCTTATAAGTTTTAAAGCTCTTTGACACATGACTTCTCTCTGACCTCCTCATCATCTTTTGTTTTTCTCCTTCTTCCTCCTGGCCTGATGCCTGACTCTACATGATCTCTAAATCAGAATCAGAGTCTTTCTCACCACTGAGCTATCAGCACTTAAATTCAGAATGACAGTTCAACTTAATATGAACTAACCTGATGCTAAAAATTTCTATCACAAAAGATCAATGGAATTTGTTTCCAGAACTAAAAGGGAAGGGAATTATGACTTTTATACATCTTTTTACTTGATGTTCTAACATTATATGGCACACTGTGATTGTTATTTCTGGTAATTGTGACTTTTTTCTTCTAATTGTAATTTTATATCTCTCAGTGTGATTTTATCTCTCATAATTAGTAACTTTTCTCATGCAACCTTTTCTTAGAGTAGGTCTTTTATCAGCATCCTACATCACCTTAAAATGTTTTATAGCGCATGTTTGTTTTTGTAGGGCCCAAGAGTCCAGACATCTTCCCAGAAGTAGGCGAAGATGCAGTGAATGCGGTGCCCAGTTCACTAACTGAGGAAGAACAAGCAGAACTCCACAGTGAACTAGCAAAGGTCAACATCCTTCAATTCTGTTATATTTCAGATTCCAGCCAAAAATACCACATTTAGTGGATGAGATTGCCTAAGGAGCAAGCGTGGTTTATTCTCAAGGCTGAAGTCATTTATGATACATTTATTCATGAAGTCTGCAGTGCTTACTTTCTTCACTATTTCAACATATGCTGTATTTTCTAACTGGACCTTATGGATAAACCCATAAGTGAATCATTTTATTATTTTTTGAACGAGTGTCACCACACTTACCCATATTTTCCATGTCAGGTGAATTCTTCTATCCTGTTTCCCTACAGGTGGAAGATGAGATCCAGACTCTTTCTCAGGTGCTGGCGGCCAAAGAGAAGCAGGTGGCGGAGATCAAGCGGAAATTGGGCATCACTCCACTCAACGAGTTCAAACAGAACCTGAGCAAAGGCTGGCATGAAGTCACCACCTCCACTGCGTACGTGCCCTCACTCACCTCAGGCATCTGCGTGCCGCCTGCCGCCTCTCATACTGCTGCGGAGAAGCGGCTCCATCTGTCAATGCTTCTGCTGTGCAGTTCACACTTGACATTTGGCTGAATTGCATTAAAGACACACAGTTGTGAACATGCTTGATTTTACTAGCTCACTCCAGCTGTTAGAATTACATGATCTTGTGATTTCAAGTTATGTTGTATGTGTTCTGTACACATCTGTCCCCCATCTGTGCTGTACAGGTATAAGAAGACCTCAGAGACCCTGTCCCAAGTGGGTCAGAAGGCGACGACAGCGTTCTCCAGTGTGGGTTCAGCCATTAGCAGAAAGCTAGAGGACGTGAGGTGAGATGGGAAATTGAAGTCCTTGTCCAACTTATCCTTTGATCAAACTATCCTTTATACCCTTTTGACCTAGTAACACATGAATGAATACTCCCTAATACCTTTTAATAATGTCTGTTCCAAACCACTCTGGTTACATTCACACAGCAGCAGATTTATACAACTTTTATTTTACCAGGAATATAAAAACTCTTGAGATTTAAAATCTATTTTACCAGAGTGTCTTTGCCAAGCACAGGTAATGACACAAAGTAAGACCAAGCGGCAACCTTCCGGTCTCTCTCGTGAAACTAACACGGAAGTGACTAAAACTGCAATTCATCGACTGGCAGCAAGAGGCTGGCTCCAAAAGGGAGTCAATCCCATAGACTCCCCATGTTAAAATGCCCAACTTTACAGCAGAAAATGTGTTTACAGCCTGGTTTTGGTCTATATAGCTAATTTTGCCCTTCATGATAACTGTGAGGTGGGTGAATTTTTTTTATAACTCATCCATTTAAATTATATTAAGCCTTAAAGTTCTGCATAATTAAGGGCGTGGCCACTTGAGTGACCGGTGGATTGCCGCTGCTGTCACCACCGTCGAGCTAGGTGGGCATGGTTTCAGCAACCAGCTCCCGCCTCTTTGCCCATTTTCGATTATCCGGGAGTGACGTGCGGTGATGCGCTGCCAAGATGGCAATGGCCCACTCCGCCCACTTTGAGCTTCAAAAACGCTCTCCAGAAATCTACGGGTGACGTCACGGACACCATGTCCATGTTTTTATACAGTCTATGAGTAAGACACAATACATGAAAACAACAAAATTTAACATCTCAGTCAACTCAAACAGCAGCTACAGTTATTGGTTGTAACATTTGTAATCAGATAAACCATATTTCAGATCATTTAAAATTATTTTAAATTCATTTAGCAAATACATTTTAACAGTTGTGACTTTTTTTGAGTTCAAAATAAGGCTATGTTATACAGAGTGACTATAAAAATGGGAGAAGATTGCATTTAATAATCAAGGTGAATATTTGAAGGAGTCACAACTGCATTTTCATAGCAAAGTTTGGATTATGTGTGTTCAGAGAATGAGCCAAAACTCCAGATAAATGTTGGGTGGAGATTTTGAACACGCATCAGAAGAGGATGAGTTGCAGGAATTCTCCAAAATTCCACAGTGGTTAGAATACAAAACTAAACCCTTAAAGGGATAGTTTACCCAAAAATGAAACTTCTGTCGTGCCCTCATGACTTTTGTTCATCTTCGAAACACAACTGAAGATATTTTATTGAAACCCGAGATATTTCTGTCCCTCAATTGAAAGTGTATTCTGCCAAGACTTTGATGCTTAAAAAAGTTCTTAAAGACTTTGTAAACATAATCCATATGAATCAGACCTTTTAATCCAAGTTTTCAGAAGAAATACAATACAGGTTTTATTAAAAATATCTTTTTTTGTGTTTCGAAGATGAAGATATTACTGGTTTGGAGCAACATGAGAGTGAGTAAATGATGACTCTGAAGACACAACTGAACATTTTGATATTTGCCATCATTCTGTCACTATGTTCACAGCATTATGTGAGGTTGATCATACAGACAGTATTCAGTCCACTATGTCTTCTGTAGGACATTTTGAGAGTCAAATGTATCCGTCAATCCCAAACACAGACTGTGTGAACGTAGCCATTGTGATCACCACTTACACATACATGTGCCTTTAGCATAACAACACTACTGGACAAAATGGCAAAGGACTGAATTTTACTCCCACGCACAGTGGAATTATCAAAATTGAGGTAGAATAAAACCATTAACCACAGACACCCACATCATACTCTGAAGTCAAAGGAACTGACATTTGCTCAATTTCACCATCTTACGACACTCTTGCTGCAACGCTAGCAACATTGTTAACCGTTTTCGCTAATGACACCTCTGCCATTTACAGATTACAGTCATTTTCCAATTCTTTTGGGTAAGACTGTTTACAGTGGCTTCAAACAAAAGCCGGTTATTTTGGCTGCTACACCTCTCGGTAGTGTAATGAATGGTTTTATAGTGTGGCATGTACTTAGAGGTAGTGCTAGTCTCCCATTTCTTCCACTTTGTTTCAGTGTATGCATACCTTTTCTTAAACCTTTGCTTGAATGCGTGAATGTACGTGTTGAATGGATATTTGCTATTCAGAAAATGAAAATTGTCATTTATTCCAAACTAATTTTACTGTTTTTATTCTGCTGAACACAAAAGAAGATATTTCGGTAAAAGTCCAAAACGACATTTGACCTCATTGACATTGTATGGACAAAAACAAAACACAAAATATCTTCTTTTGTGTTCAGCAGATGAACAGTCATACAGGTTTGGAGTAAAGGATGGCTATTTTCGTTTTGGGTGGACTATTCCTGTACCTTAAAAGCTAAGTGTTATACTTTTAAGAAATAGATTTTTTTCATTTTGAGTCAAAAAGATTTCCCATGTCTTATGCAAAGACGTGTTTTCTGATTTTCCTCCTGCTCTTTGTCTAAAAAGCAGCATAATTTCTCATTATTCTTCATTGTGTATGTGCTCGTGTCCCACACAAATCTATCGATCTTCTGGCTGTCGCTCTGCTGAACATATCATCCCTGTGACAGTGATGCAGACGTGCTTAAACCCAGTTTATTCCCTGCTAATTCTCTCACACACCCTATTCATCCAGACTGGGCGTCCCAGCTGTGGTGTGAATCTGTCAGTAATACCGGTAATATAGTCTGAAACCCCTGATGGATTAAAGCCTTATACTCTTACTCAATTTCACACAGCATGAAGGGCTGAGGTGCTTTTTCATGCTGATTATGAACTCATAGACGTGTGTAGGTGCATGGCTTTATTTGCCCTCTTGTAATACTCGCTTTGGCTAACTCCCATCTGCTCTTCTTTACCGCTGACGGATAGTATACGCTCCATACAGCATTCGGCTAGCATGCCGGTGATGAGGTAAGAATTTGTTGTGACAGACCCACATAAGCCTCTGTATTGCACAGGAATGCTTGATTCTGATTGGTCAGTTGTGGCATTCTGTGGTCAAATATTGTTGTATAATGACGCTATATAATGATGCTAGTTTTGTGTCTCACTTTTTTCTCACATTTGAAAATGAGTACATCTTAAGCAAATATTTCTTGTTGATTTATTCATTACAAGAGATTCATCAATGTCCACAGTTCATTGTAGTAGTCTTGTGTTTAGCATGTTGCTAAGCTAACTCTATTCAAATAAGTGTTATATAGAAAATAAAATGTTAATTTGACAGAAATATTTTCTCCGATTTTTCAGTACTGACTAAAATATATTTATAATCAACGTTTGCTAGGTTTTGGAGCATAGCTATAGAAGATGAATTGGCAAAAACAAAAAATGTGATATACTGACACTTTTTGCACCATGTTGATCAGGGCTTTTGCACTCCGTCCTGCAGAGTTTAGTTCCAACCTTAATCAAACACACCTGAACAAGCTAATCAATGTCTTCAATATCACTAGAAAGCTACAGGCAGGTGTGTTTGATTAGGGTTGGAGTCTCCAGGACCGAAGTTGCCCAGCCCTGATATTGTTTTTGAAATGATTCAGTCTGTTTTACATCATTATCATGTCTCTTGCAGAAACACACCCACCTTCAAGTCATTTGAGGAGAAAGTGGAAACCATAAAGGTAAAGCAACACTGATAATATCAACACTGTGCATGTGATTTGAAAATGCTAAAAACCCTGACTTCATTTCTGACTTTGCAGACCAAGATGAACCCGACACCATCAACGGGCGATACCGAAGAGGTTTCAGACTCCACACCTGACGGAAAGCCAGTGGTTGATCAGCCAGAGGGAACGTGTCCACCAGATCAAAAACCGCACTGAGGATCCACCCTCAAATGCTCCCCACTTCTTTCTTTTTACCTCCTCTCCCCCTTTTTCATTCCACTGTGGTACTTCTACATAGTCACAGTGAGCTTTGTTTTGTGGCCATATTTGTCCACTGAAGTCTGGGTCATCTCCAGACGGGATATGGTAGTCCAACACTGGAGTAGATGTGTCAGAATGTGAGATGTATGTTCACTCGTGCACTGTCAGAGCATTACACTACACTAGAGCATTGACCTTCGACCCCTAGCTTCAGGTCGGTGTTGTTTTAGCCTCTTGAGAGGCTCAGGCTGTCCTTTAGAAGTCCCTAAACATTTATTTTTACACTTTTGAAGAATATAATCCTTAAGTCATTATATGAAGTTTAAATATGTAATTGAATTTGACTTCTTGTTTGTGTACATTCTCTGTAGCACATCTAGCTACTTAAAATTGCCAGCCAAATTAACCAAATTTCTCCGTGTAGTTCATTTTCCGTTTTTAAAACGAATGCCAAAAACTCTGTTTTCTGTCTCCAAGTGTGTACTTTGAACTAAAAGATTTTTGCATAGAAAGTTTATTGATTGTATTATTAGCATTAATACCAAATATGATCAAACAGTAGTGATGTTACACTATCTCATTACTCTTTTTCTATATTTTGGATTCTTGGTTTAGCTTTAGAGAGTTTGTGTCAAAAAATGAGCAGACTTGAGTTAACAATGTGCTTTGTGACTTTATTTCTCTTTGTTTTTATGCCGTTAGTATAGTCGCACCACTGAGATCCCAGTGCCTTCTGTTGTTAAAACTGGGGAGGTGTAATCTCACTTTAAGGATGTTTCTGATGGCTTTGTAATTTGACCACTGCTAGTGTAGTTTTTTCTTTTCTTTCAGAAAACAGGACATACTATGAGAAGGATAGATGTCATAGTCTCCTAGATTACACTTCTTCCCTGTTGTTTTAAACTGTCGAACACAGCTGAAAAGCAGATCCAGTGCAACTCCATAATATTTACACTTATAATTACTAAATCTAGTATTGTTTGTGTAGTTCATGGAGCCGCTTACAGTGTAGTACCTGCTGTTGTGGCATCTTCAAGACTGCAAAATTAAAAAAGTATATTTTTATTGATATTATTAGCAGAGTTTCTGAACTGTAGATGAAATGTAACATTTATGATATGGTAGTGGTTGCTAAAGGCTTTGGAGTGCAGGGGTTTCTGCTTGTGCATATTTAGATGGTACTTAACGGGCAGATGTGTTCTCATATGGTAATATTTAATTATTGGCTCGTAATTTAAGTGTGCTTTTCTGCTATGCTGCTGCAAGAAATATTCATATAGAATAGGAATAAAAACGTTTACAGAGGTTTAGATTCAGTATGTTTGATCTATTACTCTAGATCTAGTGTTGATATCCAAAATAATACTAATGTGGAAAATATTGAGTATTGTTAAGAGTTTTCTGTTTAAAACAATGTTTTATGTGTGTTTTGTGTTGACAATAAGTGGAGGGTGGAAATCCCCAGTGGGAGCAAAAAAAAAAAGTAATTTATCCCGCTTCTGCCTCACTGAAGTCATACTGCAGCTCAGGTGGTGCTCGTTTCATCTTTCCTCACATCATCTTTTGAATATGAATGTTGCTTTATAGTGAATGTCTCCAATAGGCTTTTGTCTTGGGTTACAGTTGTGGTAGTTGAATCTGCTGTTATGTTCATTTATAATTCGCATCCTGAAACACTAGAACTACTTTGAGTAAAAAAATATATATATATTTTTTTTGAAACATTCATTCCTTTGTATGTCTGATGCCTAATAAATCACATTACGCGCTGTTTTTGTCCAGAAGTCATTTTTTGAAATGTTGCAGCAAGTCAGTGCAGCTGTATAACAGCGACAGAACACTAGATGGCACACTAACGTTTACTTTCTCAAGGTGACTTTTATACGTCAATGTAATGGTTTGATGTAGGAGAAAAATGACTTAATTTAACGAAATAATTATTAGGGCTGTCAATATGTGTTATTGAATTATGGTTGATGTAAATGAGTCGTTATAAAATGATTGGCTGAGAAAACAGACCTGATGAAGAAAATTAAGACATTATATATTCAGATATGACAATAATGTAAAGTGGCTCTAGAATGTTTTCAAGCCAAGGAATGCATTCAACAGGACGTGTTCTTGTAGTCCACTAACATGCTAAATTGAAGTTTTTAGCATTTTTACAGAATGTGGGGTAAACAAATGTTTTTATTAAACGTATGGAAATCTATTATTAGCTCAAACCGTTCCCCAGTCGTTAGACTTATACATAATATCCTAAAGGCTATTTTAATTAGTCTACCATAGGGTCTGCAAACACTCAAACTTGAACGCTGTGTGTGCTTTTCTTTTCTGTGTTTCTAAACAGTCTGACCTAATAAGGCTGTTAATTAGCTCTCAACAATTCAATTATAATCAAGCCCAGTTTCTGGAATAAACACATTACGCCATGTTTTAATTGGATTAATAAACACACACCAGATATTGTATAGTAAACAGCTGCCGAAAAAAATCGTTTTATTTTTTCCATGACCATTAACCAGGAGCTCATATGAACACAGGCACCGTGGAAAGGTCTTAACACCAAAGAAAACAACAACAGCGGCACCAACGAGCACCAGGACATTATCACCGTAGCACAAGTACAATGGCAGTTTCTATTTACACACAGCTCAGAGTACAAACTAGTACAGCCAGCAAGTGAGACGGGTAATAATAACAGTCACCAAGAGTGTTCGCCCTCTGAAGGAAGGGAGATTCAAATCTATTGAACTTCGGGAAAAGAAAGAAAACGGTGCAATTAGATAAACATTATAAGACATTGTACATAAAGCAAGTGCTTCCAGTTAATATATTGCGATATTTGATCAAGTCCAGACACTGAAATATCATCAGCTCCCTCTATGGTCATATATCCAGACTAGTGCGTAAATGCGAGAAGTGTCAAAAAATGACTTCTTTCCGTCTATTAGGAGTTATGTTTGTCAGGTGTTGCCGCGTGAACCTGTGCACTAACGCATACAGTTGCATAATTGGGTGAACACAGACACTCACAACGACAAAATATAGTGGCACTAAGCCTTAAAAATATCCTCTAATTAAGGCCCTCGTTTCTGCTGATACTTCACACCGTTTAACAATAGGGCTACATTTGTATTCATTCCATTAGATTGAAATGTTGCCGGCTAACAGCCTTCAGAACACCCTCTGAACCCTGCGCCGCGGATCTTTCTGCTCTGCATTATGATGGGTTTAGATGAAAATCTCGCGAGAGCCCGTGAGAGGCTGAAGCCCCGCGGGAACGAACCTAACGGCGGGAAACGTCTCTGCGACGCACTCAGCTCGACCTGGCGTCTGTGTTAAACCCAGGATGAACTGTTATTAATGTTGCCAGGGGCCGCTCGTTTATCTCATCGCCTCAGATACAGGTCAGTGTGTGTCAGGGGACATCTACATCACTTTACCGTTCACACGGAATGCGGGACGCGGCGCCGAGGAGTAGAAAATAACGGATGTAGTCGCGACGCCATTTTGAATCATATTCCAAGGGAAAAATTAGCTACACTGACGCTGCGTTCTTTTAACATTTGCTGGGCTTTTCTTTTCTCAGGTTCTTGAACGCCACAACCACTTAAGCGTGAATGGCCCTTACATGTGCGGTCACATTTAGCTTAGTACAGTGAAATTCCGGGGGCAAAATGCAGGCATTTCAATAGCAACCCAAGCGTTTAGGAATTTTGTGTGAAGGTGAAAAATTTCCTCTAACGGATTTGACATCAGATTTGAGTTTGTTGCACTGTTAACACTGAAATCTGCCACGTTTACCCATAATGCTGCTTAGTTTGGACCTCTGAGTTAACGGCACTTTTGACAACGGACCTACTTTGCCCGCAACAATTCAGCCGGTTTTACAAATGTGAACGCATCTTAGTGGTGGATTAATAAAACTTTAGTTGTACACATTATTGTGCCTTAATTTTACGTTGTGACATTTATACAGCTTATTTGTTATTTGCTGTGATGTCTAATTTGAAAAAAAAAAAAAAATCTTTAGGTTTCTTGATTGTGAACCTTTCATAATTTCAATTGTAGGCCTAATCCTCAGTTCGTTAGTGTTAATGTCACAACGTTATATGCATAATATGGAACAATCAAGTTACAATTCACTTTTTGAAAACCTGCCAATTTCAAGGGTGTCCCTCTTCAGAATATTTTCATTTATAAGCATATAAATATACCATCCATTTATTTCTTAGCTACATTCATAGCTATTGCTTGTACATTAAAATATGTCCCCCCCCCCCCATCAATGACTTTATCCCTCACATTGGCATAGAGACATCAACTACCTTCTTCAATGAACAGCTTCAATATACATAGTCAGTGTGCAATAATGAATAATACACAGTTTTTTAATATAGTCTAGACATTGCTTACTGGTCAAAATAATTTTGGTAAATGGCATGGGTCACCCAAACACCTCTTTTCCTTTATGGCTTTACAACTCGACTGCTGCATTATTATTATTTTTTTTTCTGCTAGCAGCGGCATGGAAAGATGAAGACATCCTGAGTTTTCCCTTTTTCTCTTTACACAGTAGACTTCCATCATGTGCACAGGGCATCAGATGCCCGTTCTTAACATCAAACAATACTTATAAAATCAGGAATGTCAAAAGATCAGACAATGGGACAGACATGTGTGAACTAAAAACAAAAAGCACAGTTTGGGCTGACTACATTTGGTCTTTGAGGTGAATTGATCCTCTCTTTTAGATAATTTCGAAGTGCTTATGTAGTATCCGTCAGGCGTTTGTTATTATCACCTGTGCTACGATGGTCAGAAGCTGGTTGTTTTATCATCAGCATCTGTTTGATTTTATGGCAGTCCCCCTCCTCAATGGACTATAAAATCACTAGATATGAGCACATGCTGCTAAGTATAGAACAGGTCTAAGAAGAAGCCACACACATTTGGCTTTCGGCCCAGACCCAGTGGAATGACTGCAGAATGTGGCAGTTTCTAGCAGCGCTTCAGCCAATCA